GGTTGGCTGACAATAAAATGGCGTAAACTAGTAAACAAATAAATAATGTAAGCAGGTTTCATAATTTTCATATTATGCCCGCTACATATGTATTTCACATTGGTCAGCACGCACAGAAGGGTTTGTCATCTCTGGCATTCTTCATAAACCATGCTGTGGGATGATAGCTTAAGTCCAATCCATATTTTTTACCCAGCAAGTATTTTTAAGAGGTTGCTTGACATATTTTTTTTCACTCAGAAAATTATTCAAAAACTCCAGATGACATTTTTATCACCAGGCTCATTTGTCTTTTTCACTGCCAGCAGTGTAACGGGCCAAGACATGCATTCTCATAAGAACTGTTGGGAAAAAAATTGCTAAAAAAGTAAAGTTAGCTCCTAAAACTGTTGTTGACCATAATGATCAAGGGTATTAAGAATGTAAACATAGCCTGGAAAGTAAAAAGATATATGTAAAATCATGATATTAAAAAAATCCAAACCAGCTGGTAAAGTGACCCATTAAGGCAACAAAATACATATTGCATTAATAAAAGGAGTAGAAAAACAAGAAGGATTTGCTTTTTTAAAATTCTCCAGTCCAGTAAGACAGGGAACAAGACTATTCCTCTATCTGTTGTTTTGCAGCTAAGGATAGAAAGGTGGTTATTGTTTGTAAGTCTGTGTTTAATTGGATTTGTGCTCAGATAACTAACTACTAAAACCCCTTTGCGCTGGGACGCGGCAAGACACGCCGTAAAGATTGAGATCCTCGGCCCACTTTTCAGCTATCATTTTCGGCCCACGCTCGAGCGAACACAGTGAAAGAAGGCAGACCCTGGCTCTTGTATATATGGTAATTGCCTTTGTGTGTAGCCCAGAAATGAAAAGACCTATTTTGCATCATAATCACCAGCTTCACAATAGTCCCCACTTTGAAAAGAGGCAATGGGAATGTGGAAGCTTGAGTAGAGCAGCACGCCACCGAACAATCAGCCTTTTCACCATGTAATTCAAAGCGTGCAGAGCACGCAGGGCCACAAACCAAGAATTTGCGGTTTGGCAGGTTGTCTTAATGGCCAAGCGAGGCTGGAATTCTGGGAGTCAGCTTTCGGAAAGAAATTCCCGTCATCAAGTGGTTAACCTATCTAATATGTTACACTCATATATCAGATGTCCTGTCTTCTCCCAGAGTATACCATCCCAGATCATTCAGTGATAACCTAATATAAAAATAATATAATATAATAACCTAATATAATTTGCAATGATTTTTCCCCACATCTCTTCAATGGCACTATTGCTTTGCGAATCCATATTTCATACTTGAACTGCATATTCAAGAACTGGCTTAAGTTATATACCCCTTGTAAATGGTAAACAAATCCACTGAAGGCAAGGAAAAATGATTGAACAGTTAAAGCATGTACTGTGCATGTACATTTGCCTTCTTGCTTTGAAGCTATGTCCATCACCAGTTCGTCCCATTTAAGAGTTGAGTGGATAATGAGGTCAACTACATTGGACAACAAGTAAATATGAAAAGTACATGTATGTTGATGATATGACATCACCTGAAACACATTCTTCCTGAATAAAGCTACAAACAGGAAAAATGGTCTGGTGATAATCACAAACTAGGAGAGTGTGCTTTAAACAATATCATTGATGACAGAACTCAGACTGTCATTATCACTCAGAGAATACCACTCACTTAAAATACACTGGACAGCAAAAGAAACTGACTGACAGAAACTGAAGAAATTGACACGCAAAGCAACTTGGTTGCCGAATCAAAAGTCACAGAATGTAACAGGATGAGCCTTAAGTTTTATGCAGAAAGCAATGTGGAGAACGAAATAAAGAAGTCACGATCATTACTTTTCAATAATGTGTATGCATAGTCAGTAAGGATGGCATCCCTATACAGAAACCACTCATGCACATCATTTTGACAAAACAGGTGTTCACTTTGTCATTGGTTGTTTAAAATGTCCATTCATGGGTCATTTTTGCTTGGTGGAGAGTGCTTTTGTGTGTGACTTTTGACTCAGTAACCAAGTTGCTGTGCATGTCAATTTCTTCTTTGTTATAAAGATAATCACTTGCTTTTGTGCATATGTGATTAGTAAGGGGTATTGCAGCATACCCGTGTAAAAAAATTGTTTATTTCTTTGGAGTGAATTTTTATGTGTGGCCTTTGATAGAAGTGGCAAGTTTCTTTTGCTGTCCAGTGATAATGACAGTCTGAGTTCTGTCATCAATGATATTGGTTAAAGCACACTCTCCTAGATTCAGTTGTTTGTGATTATCACCAGACCATTCTTCCTGTTTGTAGCTCTTCAGGAAGAATATGGTTCAGGCGATGTCATGTCATCAACATACGTATACTTTTCATACTTAGCAGAGGGCTAGAGCATCCACTTTAGTAACCAGGTACTGGTGAGTTATCAAGACCCCCTTTCTGTTCAGGGTCAAGCTGGAAATGGAATTTTTCGGCTACTAATTGTTAAGACATTGTTGCCTGAGTTAAATGGTGGGCAGGTTACTGGAATGACTTGCCTTTTTCCACCGTAATGGGAAACAACCTGTGTGGAATAATTGGAAATATTGGGAAAAATATTGGAAACTGGTGTGCAAAGCTTTTCCAATTATTCCCCGCTTTGACTTTTTTCCCAAAATATTCTATTCAGTATTGTTTAGAATTGAAGTTGAATAGAGTCCTGCAGTATGGCAAGACACTAAAACTTTTCAACACGGCATATTTGTTTCATTTTGAAGATATAACTACACTTCATCTCCAACGTCCCTTAAGAAATGTTAGAATCTATTCCTGGCCAATCAAAAAGCAAAATTTTGCTGGGTAGGGGCATTGCCATATATATCCTTTTTCACCTCTTATCTATTCTCAAACAACCCACACCCTAAAGCAGTAAGTTGAGACAAGTCATTATTGTATATCCAATTACAAAGACACCGGTGTTTGCATAAGATCTTATCAAATTAAATAAACCCTCTTATACAGCCACTTTGTTGACAAAAATTCCAAAGTCCTAGTTCTAACACACAACTTTTTATCTTTGAAGCAGTATGCCATATATAGTACATGTACACTGAATAACTGCTGTTGGTAGCACTCATGTTTTCACATGTGCTTGCCTTTAAACATTAAGTTGTAGCAAGTATTCCAATCCGTTGTCACTTGCACATATTGTCTTTTGTGTACATACTAATACCACTCTCAAATACTAGAGTACAGTCAGTGTATAGAATTAATGAACAAGATTCTGCAACAGAGCAGTATACTAACTTTGCTTGTTATGTGAAGACATTCTAAGTACACCTGCTGGCAACTTTGTATCCACTGGATCCTGCAGGAACCAAATACTAGAGCCAGCAAACAGGATCTCTGAGAAATCTGAGTCTTTGTACCAATTTGTGGGCAATTGCAACAAGTATGGAAGCGGAGGACAACGCCAGTATTATCACACCAGAGATTCAAGGTACAGAAGAAGAGCTGGGGTACTCCAAGGGAGAAGGTTCACTCCTGCAAACAGCGGCCAAGTTCTTATTAGCTGCAATCCTACTGGCTATAATTGCCTTTGTTGGCTACTACATTGGACATCCTGATGAATTTGCATAATGAAGACAACTGGAGATAAAGGTTGCTTTGGGGTGAGTATCAATCAGTCTTGGTCAATTGGAGGATGGGGAGCTCAGGATTGGAAAAGGGAGCAGGATAAGATTTATTACTTTCTTTCAGAGGCTTTTTAGGTTATGAAGCTAATGCCAATGCCATGCCCTGTGCAAGTAGCCACTGACACAATTTCCTCTAATTTGACCATTACCAGTGCTTTCTCCCTGGATACATATTCCAAGTGGAACGGTGTTAGAATTACTGACATAGACATCTGCCATACCTATTTCTAAAAGTCTTCAATTTGAAAAGTGCACAATGGCTGAATACACAGTAACATGTAGTACCAATTTAAACCATTACTGTGAATGGGTGTTTTCATCAAACCCTGCACTCGTGTGCGCATATATAGCAGGAAATTTCCCTGGTCTACAGTGCATAAAGCGACCATGAGCAATTCAACTTCCTATTTGCATAAGCTATCTTTGAGATGCCCTTTGTTTGTGCAGTAGTTCTAATAATAAATTCACATACAGTTAACGTGCATAGTGTACTGTATTCACTCTAGAAGACACAAAACTCACAGAAAGGGGGCTGGCAAGCAAAGTACATGTACATTTACAAACAGTGTCACTTATTGCCCGGCACAGGTTGACACTAATGCAGAGTACATCCATGGTTCTGAAGTGTGTCGGTATAGGCCCACCTTGGGAGTCATCTTGGGAAATAGAAAGTAAAGTTTTGGTGCTATTCAGAAAATCTGTGGATGTACATCAAATTTTGGTCAGTGAAAACTTAATTGCTCTACCTATCTGGGTAACACCAACTGGACAGACATGTCTGTTTTATAAAACTTAAGCACATTGCCAAGGGGAAAACTTGTCTTTGGAGCTTTAATGATTGTTTTTTATTCAGACTGCAGGACTGCTTTGATGCTGAGGAGTGAAGATAAGCACCGACATCGGAGCCTCGCAGACCTCGTCTTGAATCTGGACAAACTGACAAATGTTCAAATATACACAGTGAAGAACCTTTGCAGAATTCCTTGGTTAAGATTTTTAGACAAATGAGGAGGAGCTGAGCCACTTAACTCTAAAAATGCTTGGGGGGTTGGAAGTAGAATCCCCGGACATTTTCTCTGATATCATAACAGCATTTTTGAATATACACTCCAAGCCTGAAGTTTTTTCCTGAATTAAGAAATTTCCAGAATTTCATGAAACTTCATTGAACATGGTGTTCTCACATGCATTTTCCCCAACAAAATTCCATAGTTCCACTGCATGCTTAATGCATGCAGGCCACAATATTTGACGTCATGAACTTCGAATGAACAAAACATAAAAACTGTATGTTGGTATTGATAATGAATGTCTTTACATGCGTGCCAAGTTTTAGAACAAACAGGCATGCAATAGCCGAGTCCTTGGAGGAGCAAACTCCCCCCCTCCTCAGCTGTGAGATGGTCCGAAAAAGCCAAGTTCTCTGAGGGTTGAAATGGCCATAAAGAAATTATTTTTTTTCCAATAATAATTAGGCTTGGTTGATTTTTAAAAACACTGGTACAGTGGACAAGCTCCCCACTTTCATTTGTCTGTAAGTTCGTTCATCTGATTTTAGTCATCTTAATAGTTCTCAATGATTAAACTGTTATAGTATCATTACAAAAAGTCCACGGTAAACTCACTGCATACTAGATATAAATCAAAAGATGTTTTATTCATGAAATATATGTACTGTATAAGCTTACTTATGAAGTACCAAAACCAGTTAAATGTCACCAATGGAATATCATGTTAAATTCAAATGGGGAAAGCTTTAAACAAAGGAGACGAGTGATTTTAAAGAAGTTACATGCACTCTAAAATTTACATCTTTACTCTTTCCAAAATTCCAAATGAGAAAAATCTTTATCTTATTTTGAACAAAAATGAAATGCGAAATCAAAGATTTTGAAAATACAAGTAATGTGATGTTATTCATTTTCTAATACGCTTTATGTGGAAAGTACATGTTTATGTCAATGTCAATTGACACTTCTGGAGAGCTCCACTCGCAACAGGGAGGAACCGAGTTTAATTTGTATTGTTTATCATTGTGGTCACGTTCTGTAATTAACTCAAACAACTTATTCTTTCTGCCGTTAGTTTTTCATACAAATACACATATAGCACAAGGTTCTTCCTTTTTTATATTACTCCCATTTGATATTATAAGGCCTACATGTACAGTAAAAATGGTGACAGTTCTTATCAATTTTCATTGTGTTATTGTGTTGGATCTGTGACTTTTTTTGCAGTGATGTTACTCATTTTTATAACAATTTTAAACAGTTGGAAAAAACAAATCAGTTCACTGACCCAACAGACAACACGCCTAATACATGAATGCATGGCTTATAATAAACATCAGAGAATACATGTACTTACTTGTACCGGTACATGTACATTCACATGGGAAGCGGTAACAATTATTTCACAGCCCTCCTCATTCCAAACTGTGCTGTTTAAGTTTGGTAAGATGAAGTTCCTATCCATAATGAGTTACCATTCAGCATTTAAAGTTCAGCATAGATGGCAGCTTTTGAAAGGAATTAGTTCAAACTGGTGGTAATACAGTACATGGAAAGAATATTGACAAGAATGGTTATTGCAACAATTGGAATCAATCAGATGATCAGATGATTGACATGGGCATACCAGCCAAAAAAGTTACATGTACATGTGACTTTTAGTACAATTTCTATTTTTCCTCAAAATGTGAGTTTCTGCAGCACAATTTGATTTGTACTTGTTGCTAATTGTATCAAGTCCCTAATGATTTATGTTTTTCAAATATGAGTTTCAAATACAAATCTAATTCCATAAACTGCCTTTGGGTAAAATAGTGGATTTCAACTAATGATGCATCTGCTATTGCCATGGTAACGTCATTGGTTGAGGATTCTGCAGGTAGGACATCACAACAGCTGAAATTGACAACCTACAAAAGAAAAACAAATAAGTGAAGTTCAGATAAATGCAGTGAATACGACACTGGGCATTAAAGAATGAAAACATAGCCAAAGGAAATGAGGAGGACAGATGGTGAGCTCTTACATGTACATGTATGATACCTGCATGTGCTCGTATGTCTGAGATACCAGGGAGCTGTGCCAGTCACTGATAAATATTTTCATTTACTCCAGAATACCTCGACAATCTATAAAGGCAAACATTTGAGCTTCTGCCTCTAGAAGGCAATGACATATACTTGAAAAATGACATCCTATTTCACAAGGTTACATGTACATGTACGTGTACATGTATATACTGCCAACTGAGATATTTTCTAGCAATGGCCATGATATCATCACAAAGTACAAGTAGAAGATACCGTAAAAGGACATTAGGGCTGTGCCGAATATCCAATCGATTATCGAATATTTGAATATTATTTTCCGAATTTGAATATTGGAATACAAAATTCCTGGGGGTGCACACATTTTTTCAAGGGAACACCACAAGAAAATAAGCTGCAGCTGCATTACAATGGACATGTAGGCACCTGAAACAAGCCATGGATGAAGAAAAGGGAGGTGAATACCGGTGCATGGACAGTCTTAACAAATGCAAGAAAATCAAAATTTCAAGCTGGTACCAAGCAAAAACTCAAAAGTGTCCTTTGATTTGAGTCATTTTGTGACTTCATACATGCATGTATAAATGTGGTTTATACACATGATACATGAGGAAGCAATTCAAACACCCAACCTTTTCTTTAAACCATCCTGTTCTTATAAATTTATAAATGAGGATGTTCAAGCACAAATATGTAAGTCCATGTTTACTCTGTGTCTCATGGAGCTTGCTCTAAATAAAAAATTGTTATAATGTACATTTACACTTAATCAAAAAACAGGTGAATCCAAGTCCAGTTTTGAAATTGTGCCTCAACTTTGATGAGAAAAGACATCAAGGTAGGTAACCAATCAACTGACAACTTACAACTGACCCTTTTGTATCAAGAACATACTGTACATGTACAGTATATGAAAGACAGCCTCCATTAAGGGATTGGAAAGATTCTGTCAAGTTGCTTCTAGTCAAATAATCTCTCCCTCCATGCCTCAATTTCAGTAATACACTGTAACATACCATAAGGGTCCGTATAGGATTCATTCATTTCTTTTTCATGAAAACACTTCTGACTAGGTGCTTATAAATGATTATAGAGATGAACAAAAAAACTGCCTGGAGCAGGATTTGAACCTGCTACCTCTGGAATACCGTACCGTACCAACTGAGGTATCCAGCCCCATGTTGGGGGCTCTTCCTATTTGTCAATATCTTTGTTCGGGAGGGTGCTAGCCAGAAGCCATTAAACCTGAAACACCATATACCGGTAGTCAGGGATCACGCCTTTTGTTTTTTCATTTGAAAACAAAAATCAAAGATTGAAAAACAATTCTTTTTTTGTTTCTCAAGTGAAAAAGAAAAACAAAACTTGAAAAAGGAGTAGTTTCTCATTTTTCCATTTAACAAAAACAATGAAAACATAGAAACAGGTATATTCTCATTTTACATTTTAAAAATGAAAAAAAGACAATCATTTTGTGTTTGTTTTTCAATATAAAAACAAACTACAGTACATGAACATCATTATATACCGGGGTACATGTATCAATGCACTTTTTGAAGAATAAAAAAAAAGCTCAATTTTTTTCATTTTGTAATGTAAGACACGTCTTACAAAATTGTAGCCCACTAATTTGGAGTGAATTAAACATTGCTGGAATATAGGTACATGTAGAAGATTTCAATGAATTCATTGCTTCCAACCCACAAAGGAATTTCTCCAATCTGACAAAAAGGTCTATCCTAGGAAGTGCACTGGCAATACTATCTACAAATTTATAGTGGGCATGCATCAATTGCCTCACTTTGCCGATTTCCAACATGCATCACAATTCTTAAAAAGTTGCTCATTATAAACAGTTACCTTCCTAGACTTTACGTCATACTTAATTTAAGGAGACAGTGTCATTAAACATGAATTACATGTACAATGTACGTGTCCTGTAAGGCAAAATTCAGATTGAAATACAATTTAAAAGAAGTTACGTTTGTTTTTGTTTTCAACATGAATTGATTTCTTTTCCTTTTTTCTACATTTTCCTTTTTCAATGGAAAACAAAAACTGACTCTTTCTTCTATTTAAGGTTTTCTTTTTCAAAGTGAAAAACAAAAAAAAAGACTTTTTTTTCATTTTCTGTGTTTTTAATCAAAAAATGAAAAAAAGGAAATGTACACGGACCTGTAAGACTGAGCTATGCACTCTTTTAAACAAGTATGATACAGTTGTTCAACTCCCCAGTGACTTACATGTACATGTAACGGTACATTGTAAAGGGAGATTCATAAATATCTCAGACAGTCTCCCTATTCAACAACATGCAACTTGACCGTGTACTGATTAACATTTGATAATGCCCACTGCTTCAGTAATCATGCACTGGATACGAGAGAGTTTAATTGATTCTGATTGGTAAAGAGTCTGTGTGCAAGCGGCTTGACATGCGCACGCCGAGTCCATTTAAGGAGAATCTGTTGGATAACTTGCACAAGGAATATACCATAAAATGGATGGGAGTGTTTGGGAAAATGAGAACAAAGTCACTGGAATTCCATCATATATTGACTTCTTTTGACTCTCTTAAGACCGGCTCAGAAGACTAAAGGCTGATAATGCCTTTGCCTGCGGCTTGGGTATCAGTCGTGTCCAGTCTCCTGAGCCGGTCTTAAACGCACGTTTAAGCCACGCCAAGCACATACATGTACATGTATTTATTTCCTTAATAATTACCATTCTGCTTGGCTGAGTGGAATAGGTATGTTTTTTCAATGGTGTGCTTAGCCAAGATGCCAACTTATTGATCACGATCTACAATGTACATGTACCTAAGGCCAAGCACTGGTGTCATGCATACGTAATCACCAAATCTGCATGATATTGCAGACATTCACTTTAAAAATTCTTGCTACTTATTCTAAAAGAGATGTGCATAATAACCTCAATATTCTCTCTGATGAAGAAAGGACGGTGAACATCAACACAAATTTAATACAGCACTGCACACGGATACCATCATACATGTACATGTATATGCCAAGAGTACATGTACATGTAAGAGGCCTATGTGGAGCTCCCTCTAGTGACATACATGTACATGCATACTTGTAAATATTTATACAATGTGAATAAGAAATGATTACAAACTTACATGAAACTGCTAAACATCTGCTTGCCATCCTCTGTGCATCTTGTGTTGGAGAAACTGATGAAAGAACAGAAAACTGCAATCCAAGCGCACCACTTCATCTGGAGTCAAATATGCCCAAAACATACATGTAAATGTATACCAATTTATAAACCAATCAAATGATGAAGGTGTGAAAAGCAAGTCAGGAATGAAGAATTAAAAGACATGCTCTTTCATCAGGTAAATGTCTTAGTGACAAGATACATCTTGGAACTGAAAAGGTTAAAGTCTTAACTGTGTCATTATATAATGTTATACATACAAGTATTCAGAACAATTACATCACCACAATACTAGTTTGAAACTGGGGAAGTATCCACTTTGTTATTAATCCATTTGGCATTATTTTCCTGCTGTTACTTATCACCTGACTTGTGACAGTTACATGTATGAGTTGACTTGAGACATGAACAGTGATTGATCCATTACTGACTTGAAAACTCTGGGGTTTATTGCTTGCCTATTCTTCCCCTGCTATAAAAAAAAACAACTACACAGCAGTAAACTCATATCTTTATACCAAAATCTATTTTATTCATCTAAAACTATTCAAAAACGTCCAATTGAAAAATAAACTGGTAAATGTGTATGGATACATTCTCTGAGTGTGTGATCTGAGCGTACGGTGTGCCAACCTTCATCATAAGTCCCAGCATACTGAAGACCATTCCCAAGAGGTTCATGTAGTCTGCTGTAGGATCATCAGGAGTCACTTCCTCTGGTGCTTTATACCTAGATTAGAAACCAGCAGAGTGCTATCAATGTCTGGATTCTGGGTTTCAATCATTTCATTAAACTTACCATTCCTGATATACATCAGGGAAGGGTCACCTGATGACCAGTATTTTTTTTTTTAGAGATCTTATCCTTTTTTTTGGTATTTTGATAATCAAACAGCAGAAGTTTTTGAAGGTTTACTAAACCACAGCAAACAATTGGTCCATCTTGAGATTCTCAAACAATCAGCAATGGTACTGTATGACTGCAAGCAATGTGCCATAAATCATCTTATACTCATTCCCTGCATGGCAGTTGATACATTCATACAGTTGTTGAGCAGTTGCTATAGCTGTAAGCAAAACTTAAATTTGTGATGATCTTTCTTCATCTCATTAAGTTCAATTAAAAAGTCTTCATTTTGTTCTGTATTAATACAATAATAGTGGCAGACATAGTACCACACGTTTATGAACACCATTATACACACATAGATGTACATGTACCATCCCTGTACAATGACTTGAAGTAAACAGATTGATGTAAATGAAGTACTTTGGCCTGATTACATGCTTTAAAACATTTTTGCATGTTCTCTCATACTTTCTAATAGGAAGTTATGACTTTCAGAAAGTGGTTTTTGATGGATCCAGTACCATAAATACACATGAATAATCAGTACATGTCCATCAATGAATCAATAATTCTTGCAGTCCTCATTCAACATGTACGATTAAAATTCCACCAGGCATCAGTACATGTAAAGCCTGCCCTGTACAACTTTCAAAAGCAGTTAGTGCCATAAGATTCCGGAAAGTTCCAGGAAACTTCCTTGGAACTTTGAGATTAAAGGAACACTAAAAAAAAAAAATTAGAAATCCTCCTATTGCCACTGACTCCATGGAATCACCACCAGACTTGATTTCATGTACTGTACATGTATACTGTACAAGGACCATTTTGCAAAGTGCTCAGTTACTTGTAAACAGGCTTCCAAAAATGGCCAAGTTGATCCCTTAAATATGGTTAGGGCTAATGTACATGTACGTACGGTATGTAAACTGCAAAGCTGTCTCTTTTAATTACTACGGTGAAGGATGTTACATGTACGTGTATGTTTCATCTTGCATGTAACGGTACATGTAACATGTAATAATGATCCAGGCATCTGTGCTACTAGTCACAACTTTGCTTACTTCTCCCTGTTTTTCTAACCCTTTAGATCAGCTACCATGCATACTGCAACATGCCCCTCTGAAGCCACAGGTTCGCTATGAAATGCAGCCACAACTCCAGCCTGTTTGATGACTGGGGTTGTCTGGTCATGGCTCCTCCCCTCCAAGAAATAGACGAGTGAATCTGGACCACCCAAATACACAGTCCACCAAAACTCTAAACTGTGAAATATGTAGCAGGCATCATCACTAACCATGTCCCCCGAAATGGCAATATCCTGTCCTGTGCATTGGTTGGAAAACACATCTCTCAGGCTGTCTGCATACATGTACGTGTACATGAGTGAAATGGTGCACAATGGCCCGGTGCATGGCGGAGAACCGAAATTGAAAACTGCTTATCTTTTTGGAGGTTGGGACGACCGAGGTTGCACAAGAGATTATGTGTGGAATAAAACCCAACTTGTGTAACCCAGGCCATATTTGGATTTTGTCAGAACTAAGACTGAGTGCATATTACGGTATTTTGACTCTGATGAGTTGTTTGATATTAAAGTTTTTGTGACAATTTGTAGCCAAAGTTCAGTATTCCATTTAGTCTGTTCATAAATTCTTCTTTTTCATTTTGTTATCAACCTGATCACTTCTGTGATTTTGATGTGACGCTCACCGTACCAGTGTTGTTAATTGCTGTGTAAAAATATTTTCATCTTATTCGAAAAGACGTGTTTTGCTTCACACAGAGTTATTTTTTAATTCACATTTTAGGAGCATTTCAATTCGGATAAAACCTGGTTTGGGGCAACGTTTGAATTGCTTGACATGCTGGAGAAGTCACTTCGTAGGAGAAAAGGTTAAGGGACTTTGTATAAGATCCAAAATTACACAAAGCTTCAGAAAATTATATGAATTACAGGTGAAGAGAAATAAAAAGCAATTCAAGTGATTTAAATGGTGTTATTAAATTTAAGAAATCATTTGGTAATTTAATCCTGATTTTACTTTAAAGACAGCATCAAACTTTTTACATGCATGGTCCGACCGAGTGGAATCACAGATTACAGTGCAATCACTTTTTTATATATTTTTGAGGGGAAAAAGTAGCTGTCATCTAGGGAAAAAATAGCAGTCATGACTGTTGAAATTGCAAATTACATGTACAAGTAAAATTAAGGACGCTTATATATTTTTTTACGTTTAAAAATTTAATATACATGTGTAACTTTTGTTTCAATTGTGATTTTCATTTAAAATATTTGCAAGAATAAGTTTACAGTTAGAAAGTAGGCTGTAATTCTATCCTTGTAAAAATTGATGGGCTTACACGAAAAATTACTGGAAATAAAACACTTCAATAGTGATATTACCATTTGCCTTTAAAACAACTTCTTTTAATAAAATATTTCATTTTGTCAAAGATTTATTTTACATGCAGTACATTTCAACTCATTCCCTAATTCCACTTTTATGTCCACAGTTACAGGTATGGGAAATTCATCCTAATTCCAAATTCCAGTCCCCCCTTCTCCCCAAGTTTGGTCACCCTCCCAAAAGACAAATACTGGGTAAGTCACTGGGTTGCAATTCCTGTTTCCTTTTGGAAGCGGCATTCACCTGCAAACACTGGAAGTTTCATAATTTGGTAACATCTGGATCTGGATAAATACTCTGAAAAGCTCAAAATGAGCATCACTCAGAAAAAAACTGGGGGGTTGTCCATTCCAGCTGTAGATGGCTGTGCAGTGCTTTTTGAAGCTAGATAACTTTTCCATAGATTCAAATCATATGTTTTGGCAATTTATTCCAATCTCTTGCCATCTTGGGAAAGAATGAGTGAAGATGGGATTGTGACACAGACTGTGGAATGACAAGTTCATTTGTCTTGCAGGACCTAGCGTTCATTTGTGTATGAGCTGATGGAGGTTCTTGCAAATCAAGGAAATCTTTTATGTCCAGGTCAACACCGTGATGAATGATTTTGTGTAGCATGACTTAAGCTGCTGTACCATCTTCTCTGCTGTAGGAGGGGAAGTTATGAGCTTTTTTAGCCTTGCTGTATAAACAGAGCTGATCCTACTATAATCTTGAGTGATAGTACGCACCGCCCTGCGCTGGACAACCTCAATCTTGTGGATGTGTTTCTTTGTATGCAGAGTCCATACAGAGCTTTGTACATGTACATGTAGATGTACAATACTCGAGGTGGGGTCAAACCAGACTCTTGAAAGCCTGGGCTTTTACTTGGACTGGAACCCTATTCAGGTTTCTATGAAGGAACCAGATGACACTATTGAGTTTTGCTGTGACAATATCTACATGTACATGTATATGCTGATTCTATTTCATGTCAGATGAAAGGGTAACACCAAGGTACCGGTATTTACAA